CTCACTTCTTCCCCTGCGGGGCCGGAGGGGCGATGCGACGGTGACGGGGTGGGGGAAACACGGCCCCACCGACGCCGCGCGGGCCGCCTCGACCTCGGCTTCCCCGCTCAGTGACCGTGGTGCTGGGGTGGGGGTGCCGAGCGATGACTTTGTCCTTCGTGCTTCCGGGGAACCTGAAGACCAGAGGGGTTCGCCCAGGAAGGCTGGCGGTGGGAGCACCCTCGCTCAGAACAGAAGGAGAACCCTCGTCTCCACCGCGCGCCCCTCCGCCTACTGTCCGGGCCGAGAGGACCCCTGAGCCTCCGGCGATTGAGGGAAAACAGTGGAGATCCGTCCTGGATGGGACTGGGGGTGTGGACAGCGGAACGGAGTCGCTCCCTACGAGATCGCAGTCGACGTGTTGAGTAGTGTGTTGTTACAAAAATGTGGACCGTAGTGCCTACTCCCTCCTCGTACTACGGTACTCCCGTGACACTGGGGAAGTAGGCACCACGGCCCACATTTTTGTGTAGCAGGAAACGGGCTCAGAGGCTGCTTTATGAGGTTGGGTCCTTGGTTGGTTTAAAAAAAAAAGGAGTTAAAATTAGAACCCAGCTCTGCCTCACAGTTGCTGCTCCTGGTGGGTGGTGTCTCGGCCCAGCCTATTGCTCTGAACTGAAGTCAGGGCCTTTCTCTCTCTCAGTTTGGAAGGGAGGTCGGTGCAGTGTTAGAGGGCCTTCTTCCGTGGCCTCAGCCTTCTCTTGTTTCTTTGCTGCGCGGGCTTCTTAGCGTTATATTTCCTTTGTCATCTCATCTCCCCACCACAGAACGAGATGAAACTTATCATCCTGGACCACTACTCGCAGGCCAGCGAGTGGGCTGCCAAGTACATCAGGAACCGCATTATCCAGTTTAACCCGGGGCCAGACAAGTACTTCACCCTGGGGCTCCCCACCGGTGCGTGTCCCACAGCGACTGGGTCAGGAGACTTGGGATCGGGCTTTTAAGGGGCCACAGGGACTTAAAGAAGAGCTTGAGGTACTGCTGTTGTGAGAATGCCTGACCCCCCTGCCCATACAAAACAGGACTTGGTTTCCTGTAGGGGTTGCTACAATTGTGCCTGTAGAGTCCTGGAACAGCAGGGATTTTTTTTTTTTTTTTGTGGTATCAGGGATTGAACTCCGGACCTTGCTCTTGCAAAGCAGGTGGCAGAAGCCCTGCGCTAAATCCCTGGCCCCCTGAAGGGATTTTTTTTTCAGTCAGGAAGAACTTGATTTTTAGGTTACATTCTAAGTCAATCCTGACATCCAGGGTTTCTTAGCAGATTAAGTCCTGATGCCCTAAGGCATTCATTTTATGAAATGAATTAATTTCTCTTTTGTGCATATAGCGGTACCAGCTAAGTACCATACTTAGGAGAATTAACAAGATAGTCTCTCAAATAATCTTCCCGAAGACTTAATTGAGCAGAGAGCTTAAGTGAAAAGCAGTCCCAGTTCCTTCTGGAAAAGGCCAGAATGTTAGCTTTACAGGAAGTTATTTTGACCCCACTTCCTCAAGGCAAATGTCCTAGTTATTTCTTTTATAGCAGGGGATTTGCCCTAAGGTCTTACTGGGCCCATCCACTACAGCACTGGCCTTGAAACTTTTTCTGTAACTGACCAAACAGTAAATATTTTAGGCTCCATAGTTGCAGGTGCTCAATTCTGCCACAGTGTGAAATAGCCACAGACAACATATGGATGAATTGGTGTGGCTTTGTGCCAGTAAAATTATTTATGGACATGTAAGTTTGAATTTGTATGAATGGACTTGACTTATGAAATAAATTCATTCACGAGGGCCAGTTGTAAATTCAAGTTGGTCAGTGAAGGCTCAGGCTCCTCTACACAGCCTTCAAAGTCTCTCTCCTGCATATAGGCAGATCTTAGTGTCCTTAGAGAGACATCGGCCCAGGATTTCTCTGTTAACCTCGCACGGGAAAGGATGTTGTAATGTTCCTTCCAGAGCTCTTTTGAGGGTTAAATCTGTTTCTGAGACCATCTAGAAGCATTAAGTGGCTGCCATTTGGGTCATAACACAAGACTGGTCATAAGTTAAAACTAAAATTCTAAGGGCTGGGGATTTAGCTCTGGTTCTGCTGCCTGCCTTGCAAGTGCAAGTCCTAAGTTCTATCCCTGGAACCCCAAAGAAAAGCAAACAAAAAAATAAAATTCCGATCTTAATCCAAGGTGTTCTTATGTTAGGCCAGTTGTAACTCCAGGGTCTACTGTAAATTTCTGTCATAAAATATTCTTTTGATTTAAAAAAAACCTACAGTGTAAAAACCCCTTTTTTTGTGGGGGTACTAGGGTTCAAACTCAGAACCTTGTGCTTTCAAGACAGGTGGAACCATTGAGCTAAATCCTGGCCCTAAAAACCCTTTTTAACTCTTGAGTTTACTCAAAATGAAACAGGCAATAGATGTGATTTGGCCTTTGGGCCGGAGTTTGCTGAGCTCTGCCCAGGAGGCTTGTGGGAGTCAGATCAACCTGCATGTGTGAAATCACCCATGTCTCAGTCCAATCGGGGCTGAGTTAACATCCTGTCTCCTAACTGGAGAGAGCCTCCTCTACCTGGTCAGTGACCGGGTTCTGCTGCAGCTCCTCCCTGGTTCACATTATCTTAGAATCAGATCAAAGCTTCTCTGAGTGGAATTCAAGGCCTCCAAAATGCAGCCCCTCCCTGCCTATCACTCTTGAACCAGTGCAGAGTTTTCATCCAGGTTCCTTGGATCATTCCTTTCATTAGGTGCAGCACTGGTCAGCATTCTGGCTAGAAGCCATAGAGACCAGCTCTAGCTAGAAGAACAGTAAAAGAGCATTGGCTGTATATTGGAGCTCACAGAATTGGTGGGAGGCTGGAGGTTTGGAAAATGGCAAAGGCCTGGCCTCAGGAACCCGTTGAGTAGTGAGTGGGGTGAGAGGAGCTGCCACCATCGTTCATTCAGTAGATTCTGCCCTCAGTAAGCTAAAGAATTCTAGAGAAAGAGCAACAAAGGGTTTTAAGTTCCTGCCTCCCAAAGCTCAAATTATAGTGGGAGAGACAGATAATAAACAAGTTAACAAACCATAGAGTATGTTAAGTGGCATTAAGAGGGAAAGAAAAATGAAGCAGTAAAGAAGAATAGGGAGTATGTAGAGGGGCTTTGCGGTGTCAGATACGTGTCAGGGAAGGTCTGAGAAAGTAACGTTAGGGGAAAGGCCTGAGAGGTGAGTTACACGCAGGTGCATTTCTGGGCAAGAGCACTGTACGCAAAGACCCTGAGGTGAGATGCCGTGCAGGGTGAGGAGCACAGAGAGGGTGCCAGGGACTGAGTTATGTGGCACCTTTGTAAGGATTGGTGATTACTGAAAGTAAAATGAGGAGCTGTTGTGGGCTTTGAAAAGATGAATGACGTGGGCTGATTTGGATTTTTTTTTCCTTCCATCTTTCTACTTTGAAAAGTTTCAAATATTCAGAAAAGTTGAAATTAACAGTAGTTACCATTCATCAAGATGCACCATTTGTTATCATTTGCTTTTCTTTTTCTCTGGCTCGTGGTCTGCACACGTACGCACACACGTGCGCACATACACACACACACACACACAATTCTTTTTTTTCTAAACCACTTGAAAAATCAGTTCCAGACATCCTGACACCTTACCTCTAAAACGTTCAACTTCTATCCTCTAAGGACAAGAACATTCTCTCCCATAACCCCATGCCATTGTCAGACCTGAGAACTGGTCTGTTATATTCTACTGTACCATCTGATACAGAAGCTATGTTCAAAAATTTTTCCTTGCTGTGCATATTTATCTTGTATGGGTAGCTGTTATTAAGTTAATCTAGTGTCCATTCAGGGATCTTACATCTTTAGTTTATTTGCAGTACAGGGGATTGAACCCTGTGCATTTGAGGCGAGTGTTTGACCACTGAGCCAAGCCCCAGCCCCCACCTCTGGCCTTTTAATCCACTGTGGGCCTCTTGCCTTTTGTTATGTGTGTTTTCTGAATCTCCTCTGGGGAAAGTCTTCCCTGAACCCCAGAACACAGCTGATAGCCCTATCCTCTGTCATGCCTCTCCTTGGATAGCGGCTCTCTCCTCTCTGTCCCCATCCTTGGCCCTGTGCCTTCCACACAGTAGTTGCTGGGAGACCATCACATCAGTAATCATCAGATGCTCACTTAGTTACAGATAATTGGAGGGATTTCAGTCACCAGGATGCTGGGCACCGGGGGTTCAGCAGACAGACAGACCCAGCCGTGCCCTCCTAGAGCCTGCGTTCTCATGGGAAATGGGCCCTGAACAAGCGGGTACTGGGCAGATGGCCATGGGGCCAGAGCATTCTGTGGGTAGGACACTGATTTGTTCCTCTCAGATCTGATAGATTGTTTTTGGGGAGCAGCTCCCCTTAGGACCTGGGTCCGGGAGTGCTTGTGGGTGTAGCAGCGTTCATGGCTGAGACCTCTCTTGCAGGGAGCACCCCACTTGGCTCCTATAAGAAGCTGATTGAGTACTACAAGAATGGGGACCTGTCCTTTAAGTATGTGAAGACCTTCAACATGGATGAGTACGTGGGTGAGTTGTTGTCTTTCAGGGTTCTTGTCTGATTCCAGGAGCACCATGCCTCCCCTCTCACAGCAGTGGCTGATGAAGAATGGGGCTGTCAGGGAGCCATGGTATTTGGTGATAGATTCCTTACCTCTCTCTTCTAGCCTTAGTTTACGCGGCTAGAACATGGGGCTAATAAAGCTGACCTGTGCTGGATGTGGTGATGCAGGCCTGTAATCTTAGCACCCTCCAGAGGCTGAGGCCTAGGCAGGAGGATTGCAAATTCAAGCCTAGCCCACGTAGTTTAGCAATTTAGTGAGACCCTGTTTCAGAATTTGAAAAAATATTAAAAAAAAAAAAAGGGGGGGGGTCTGAGGATACAGCTCAGTGCAGACACCCTGGGTTCAATCCCCAGTATGGAAAAGGGGAAAAAAGCTGACCTCATGGGCTGAGAGCATTAAATAATACCACGGTAAATGTGGAAGCTTCTTGTACACACTACAGTGTTAATAATTAGCACCTCCATCCCCACTGCACTTCCCCAGCTGCACGCCATCTCTATGGGATGAGCTCGCACATGCTCCTAGCTGCTGTGCATCCCCAGCATCTGCTACTGTACTGCCTCCAGCTCCCTTTTCTGCCAGGGACACTTGGAGAGAGTAGAGATGCTGGCTTTTCTGCTGATGAACCTTGTCTTCTCTCACCCCCCTCCCCATCATTTATAAGGGCTTCACTTTAAAATTCTTATTTTTTTAAAATTATTGAATATAAACATAAAATTTGCTATCTGCAAAACATGGTATGGTTTGCAACCCTGTGCTTCCAGCTCCTCAGGAGACTGAGATGGGAGAACCACTTAGGCCAGGAAATCAGGACTAGCCTGAACAACATAGCATGACCTTGTCTCAAAAGAAAAAAATTGTCACCCTAAATTTGTATTTTTTTATTTTTAAGACAGGGTCTCACTCTGTAATGCCTGCTGGCCTTGAACTTACGGCGCTTCTCCTGCCTCAGCCTCCCAAGTGCTAGGATTATAAACATGCACCACCATGCCCAATTTAAGCACTTTTTTTTTTTTTTTTTTTTTTTTTTTTTTTTTTTTTTTTTTTTTTTTTTTTTTTTTTTTTTTTTTTTTTTTTTTTTTTTTTTTTTTTTTTTTTTTTTTTTTTTTTTTGGTACCGGGGATCAAACTCGGGACCTTGCAATTGTGAGGCAGGCAGTGGAACCACTGAGCTAAATCCCGGGCCCTAAGCACTTTTATATGTACAGTTGGGTAGGGTTAAGTGCAGTCCAATTATTGCACAACCAAACTCTAGAATTCATCTTGCAAATGTGAGACTATAACTGTTGCACAGCTCTCCATTTGTTCCTCTCCCCATGCTTTAGAAACCACCATTCTATTTTGTTTTCTTGAATTTGAACTCTCTAAGTACCTCACAAGGTGAATCTATGTTGTAGCATGTGTTAGCACTTTTTTCTTTTTAGGGCTGATTTTATATAATTTTTTTGTTTTTATGGAACTGGGAATCAAACCCAGGGACTCACGCCCTCTAGGCAAGCACTGCACCACTAGCTACATCCTCAGCCCTGATCTTAAATATTCTTAAGGATTAACATTAAACATTCACCTTAGACATTTTTTTCTTTCTGGCTTAAAAGACAGTCTCTTTTGAGGAGCTCTAAGATAACTTTCTCCAACCACCTGGTGTTTAAATTGGGGTTCAGATTGAATGGGGTTTAGTTGGGGTAAATGGTGGGAGACACAGGGTGAAGGGTGTGCTTGCCTCCTTTCCTAGACGGGCCCAGTGCTACTCTAAGTGGCCGGGCCTCCTCCAGAAGCTGGGAGTGCCCCAGCCCCCAGCCCTGTGGTCACGGGGTGGCAGTGATTGGACACTGCCAGGCACCAGCTCGGCCTGTCCTTGGCGGCTGGGGGTCAGAGAGCTCGTGCCCAGGGCTCCCCGATGGGCAGGCCCGAGCGTCCCTGTTTGTCATGGTAGTGTCTGCACCTTGGAAGAACCGCTCTGGCATAACTAAGTGTCTGTGGCCCCGCAGGCCTTCCTCGAGACCACCCAGAGAGTTACCACTCCTTCATGTGGAACAACTTCTTCAAACACATTGACATCCACCCAGAAAACACCCACATTCTGGATGGCAATGCAGCTGACCTGCAGGCGGAGTGCGACGCCTTTGAGGAGAAGATCAAGGCTGCCGGTGGGATCGAGCTGTTTGTTGGAGGTGAGCTTGGTACATGTGCAGGGCCAGGCCCAGGGAGGCTAGGATCATGGGGAAGAGAAGCCAGATGCCATGCCTTTCTCCACACAGCCCCCTTTGTCTGTGCTAGTGACACGGGTCATTTATTACGTCGAGAGTGGGAGCCCCTACTGCTCAAGAACTGTGATCTTGGGCATCCCCCGCTTTCTGCACTTTGATGCCTGCTCTATACATTGAGAGGTTTAGATTTGCACTCTGAGATCCTCTAATCCCCAGTCTTAAAGCTTTATAGATTAGTCCTATAACTTACCTAAACATTTGAAATCATGGACTCCTGTAGTTCCAGACAGTTCCCTACAGCCTCTGCGTGCTGTGGATAATCAGTTGAACCCCAGAAAGTCATATAACTCATCAATGTCGAACCCCCAAGGAGTAGTGGGAAGGCGGCAGAAATGTGAGGTGTCCACCTCTCAGATTTGGGCTCTTGTCCATCTGTTGTCCCCTTAGGAGTCATATACTGGGGTGTCAAATTGGACTGCCTTTTGCTGCCCTAGATCTTACACCTAGCAGAGTGGGGAGGAGGGGCAGGATGTGCTAAACCTGGCAGCCCCTACTGAGATGCTGTGTTGCAGTCCTTTCCCAGCGGCAGGACCCCAACTATAGACAAGAGAAACAGACAAGGCATACTTCCCAGTAACCTGTGGAGGTAGAAGCTATGTGGATTGCTCTTTGCCAAGCTTCTTAAAGGTGGGAGCAAGTTACAATCTGCGTATGTACCTTGGGTGCTTAAGATTTGCCTACCATGAGATATAATGTGAAAAGAAACATTTTCAAAGGATATCTTTTCAGACTCCAGTGGGAAGGAGAGATTGTCCATTCCTGCCATTTTGGATCCCCGGGAACTCACAGGGCTGCTGTGGCTGTCTCTCTGCAGGCATCGGCCCTGATGGACACATTGCCTTCAATGAGCCAGGCTCCAGTCTGGTGTCCAGGACCCGTGTGAAAACCCTGGCCATGGACACCATCCTGGCCAATGCTAGGTTCTTCAACAGTGATCTTGCCAAGGTTCCCACCATGGCCCTCACGGTGGGTGTGGGCACTGTCATGGATGCTAGAGAGGTAAGGGTACAAGGGTTCCACCAGCCTTGTGGGGATTGCGACGGCTCACCTTTTTGTTAATTTTAGCTGTACAGGTACTACCTGAACACAGGTGTGATTGAAAAATAGTGAAAGACACATTGCCTTTAGTATCCCTCAGAATACTTCCCCTCGCTCCAGGCACACTTACCCCATAGTTCTTGCCATTCTGAGCCAGTTCTAGAAGTCCTCCGTCAGTGTCTTTAGTTGCTCTCTCTCTTTTTTTTTCTTTTGGTATTGAGGATCACACTCCGGTCCTTGCGCTTGAGGCAGGCGGTGGAACCAGAGCTAAATCCCCAACCTTTTAGCTGTTCTCTTGTGTCTGCCTTGATGTCCTGAATCAATTCAAAACATTTACCCTTTATGGTCATTTTGATCTGGGCAAGAGCCAGAAGCCGCACTGCCAGTCCAGTGACTGGATGAGGACACACTGTACTGCTTTTCCTAGCGTGGCTTTCCTTTGGATGGCACTTGGTAGCAGCAGACACTGTATTATCACACCTTGTACATGCCTCGTTCTGGTGTTTTGCTTTGTTTTGCAGTACTGGGGATCACACTCAGGGTCTTGGAGTTGTGGGCAAGCGCTCTACCACTAAACTATACAGCCCACCCTCTGAATACATTCTTGTTAAAGATGAAGGCGTTATAAATAAGGGTCAAATTCTCGCTGGTCCTAACACTGTTCCCCTTCTTTCTTTGGAGGTAACCATTGTACCCAGTGTGAGGTGAATCCTTTGAGCATATTTTCTGTCTCTTGCTGATTAACTGTGTACTGCAGGTTCCCTGGCCTCTGCTCATGTCCCCGTTCTGATGCATCTCGGGCCCAGAACAGCCTAGGACCGCAAAAGTGGGAATGAGAATCAGTACCTGTGTAGGTACTGAGGACCCTCTTGTTTGAAGGAATGTGCCTCCTGCACCCAGGGATGCTGTGGTTATAGCCTTGTGCTCAGCACTGATATATGTGGCGAGACATAATTAGAGTATAAGTGTTTAGCTGAATGTGGAGGGGCATCCCTGTATGCCCAGCCCTCTGGGAAACAGCCAGGAGGCTCACTAGTTTGAGGCCAGCCTGGGCAACTTAGACCCTGTCTCAAAAAATAAGGGGCCTGGGTTGGGGTAAAGAGTAAAAATGACACAGACAATATGTTTATATACCAGTGGTTCAAGATGAATGTAGTTACTATGTATCAGAAACATAGACTCATAATTTATTTTTTGTATGTAGTTCCTGAGTTCCTATGTGCCACAACGCCCGGATAAAATTTTTCTTTAAAAAGCACAACCAAATAGTTACTGAGCAATATCTTGCCAGACTTCAAAACTTCATCATGTTTAGAGAGCCCTGCCTTCTGTATTTTGTGATCCCAACACTCTGGAGGCTGAGGCAGGAAGGTTGCTGGAAGTTTGAGGCCAGTCTGGGCTACATAGTTCAAGGCCAGGCTAAACTACATAGATCCTGCCTCAAAAACAAAACAAAACAAAAAAAAAACCCTGGGTTCCATCTCAAGTACTAAAGACAAAGAGGATCTTGAACTGAACTGAGGGAGTTTTTCCCCTAGAATTGGCCCATTTGAGTTTGACTTTGTTTTTGTTGTTTGGTGGTTCCGTCGTCCTTTACTGCTTTCATTAGCACTATTAGAAGTCTTTCCTTCTCCTTTCTGAGGTGTAGCGAGTGGGAAGCAGCTGGACACCTTGGCTTCCTGCTCCTCTGCCCAAGTCTACAAACAAGCATCTAAATCGGAAAAGCCCCCGATGTATGAAGTGAACTTTGGGCTGGGGATGTAGCTCAGCGGTGCAGTGCTTTCTTATCATGTGTGAGGCCTTGGCTCAGTCCCCAGCACCACCAGAAAATTTCATTCAAAAGGTACATTTTTGTGAAATACATGATGGTACCCAGATTTCTGTTGGGTGACCCTGAAATGAGGACCTAGGAGGTCACCGCTTGCTGCTTGAGAGCAGTACCAGGTTTTGGGGGCCGTCCTTGTTCATTAAGGGCACTTGATCTGGAAAAGGACCTGGGGCTGGAAATCAGGAAACTCTATTTTTCTTCTTTTTTTGGCACTAGGAATCAAACTCAGTGGGGTCCTTGAACTTGCAAGGCAGGCGGTGGCACCGCTGAGCTAAATCCCCAGCCCAGGAAACTCTTTCTAGAATGGGCTCTGAGATGCTGAGGGTATTGAGATTACAGTTACTCTTTCTGTGCCTCTGTGCTCTCACCTTTTAAGAAAGCAACGCTGAGGGGCTGGGGATTTAGCTCAGTGGCGCCACCACCTGCTTCGCAAGTGCAAGGTCTGGAGTTCAATCCGCGGTACCAAAAAAAGAGAGAAAGCAACACTGAGTACGAGTAATGGCACAGTACAAGTGAATTAAATCAAAAGGCTGAAGTCTTTAGGGCCACTTTCCAGCACTTATGCCTTTGATATTTTAAATGTTAAGTGGCATCTATGCCTTAAGGTAAACAAAAAGCATTATCCAAATCCCATTAGCAGGTTTAATGCTCTGACTGAAAGGGACCAGATGAAAGGGTAGCCTATCTGGGATTCAGCCTCAGCAGCCACCATTGCTCCCAAAGCTGAGGTCCCTTCGTAGATTATGGGCCTTTGCGTGGCCCATCCATTCATAAGGCATGCCCACAGTCATCAGAGTTGCCTGGAGGGACGATTACACGGTACTGAAGAGCATCAGCTCTGGGGTCAGAATGACCTTGGGAAAGTTACCTGCCCCATTCCCTACTCCTAAAATATGGGGGAAGCAGTGCCCTCCGGTACTGAGCAGGACGTGTTGCAGTCACTGCTTACAATGTGACATTACAGGAGTGAGCCTTACCACTGGCCTAGAACTCGGGTGTCCCGGCCTCTCAGTCATGGACTTGTTCTCTGGTCTCCAGGTGATGATCCTCATCACAGGTGCTCATAAGGCATTTGCTCTGTACAAGGCCATCGAGGAGGGCGTGAACCACATGTGGACGGTGTCTGCCTTCCAGCAGCATCCGCGTACTGTGTTTGTGTGTGATGAGGACGCCACCCTGGAGCTGAAAGTGAAGACTGTCAAGTATTTCAAAGGTGAGGGCGGGCATGGGAACACAAGGTCAGGCTCAGGTATGTGGGCACTGGTTTTTTTATTCTGGGTTTTTCAGTCAACACCCATGGCTTTAATAAACATCAGCCCCTACTGCCTCATAAATGGTCATGTGTCTTCCATCCATGACTGCAGGGATCCATTTCTGGAGGTGTTTGCTCTGAGGAGGAGGCCAGAAAATGCAGAGTTGTAGTCCAAGGGCTGTGTGGTGGTCTCCTTCCAGTGACACTGAGCCTCAGATTTTCTGTCCAGGCCTCATATAGTTCTTTCCCCCTCAAGGCGGGCCCTGAACAAGCTTTCAGGGGACCTTTATTTTTTTTTTTGCTTTAGAAAGACACCTGCTAGAGGGCTGAGGGTGGGTGTTTCAGGGGTAGAGTGCTTGCCTAGCATGTATGAAACCCTGGGTTCCATCCCCAGAACCCCCCCTGCAAAATTAATTTTTAAAAATACCTACTGCTTTTATCAAACTCATGTAAAAATCCTCATTGATTAAGCATGTAAATTAGAAATCTGACCCTTAAATAGCCGGCTCCTGTAGTAGGTGGGTTACCAGCAGCTCAGGGATTCTGCTCTCACTAGTGTTTATCACTCGGAGATCACAGATAAAAGATGTAAATGTCAGTTCTGCGACAAGATTTGAGAGGTTCTGGATGGAACTATTAATGGTGGAGCTCTTTGCCTCTATCTGCATTAACTATTTCTTTGTTTGTAATTTTTTATAGGTTTGATGCTTGTCCACAACAAGTTGGTGGACCCCCTATACAGTATGAAAGAAACTGAGAAATGCCAGTCTTCTAAGAAGCCATACAGTGATTAGAGTCTGTGCTGGGACTTAGTATCAGGTACCTCACAGAAGTAGGTGGGTCTTTCTGGAAATTGTCTTCAGCAGACAAGAATTGTCTTTCTTTAATCCAGCATGGTTACTGCAGATAAGTGGGTGCTCCCAGCTGTGAGGCAGGAAGCCTAGTCATGCAGTTCAGCTATAGGGAGAATGATTCATAACTTAATAAAAAAAAATCCCTGAAAAGTATACCCCATTATTTTGATGTCTGCCACACCCAAGTTAGGGCTCCTAGCTTTTGTCTGCCTCAGCCACTGTTCACATGTATGACACACTTCCATCAGGAATTCCCACCCTTAGGTGCACTTATCCTCAAGTGGGTGCGAAGAAGGGCTTGTGTATTTTAGATACAGCATCCTGGAGTCCAGAGTTCCACTGGAGCAGGCCTCCCCTTTATCTTAGAATCCCTGTTCCAGAGTACGGGACAGACTCTCTCACTACCTAAGTTACATAGGAGGAACAAGGAAGCAGCGCCTCTGCTCAGTAACAGGCACTGTGGAAAGAAAACTCCCTGGGAAGGTAATAAGGGAGTTTTTTCTGCTCTCATAGCTGGCCCTTCCGTGAACTGCCAGAGCTCCCGGAGGGAAGGTTTGGTGAGTGGGGCTAAAGAGGTGATTTTTGCTTCAGGGACCCTGCCACAACAAGCGTCTCCCCCTCCGGGACCTGTGAGGAAAAGGGTGGGCACCTTTTTCCTGCTGGAGCCCTGTGTTTTTGTCAGAGGCATCTTATGTGCTCATCAGAAAGGAAGAGGCCGGTACACTGGGGCATTAGACCTTTGCACAGTGTACGGTGACGTGCTGACCAGCAGCTCGGACTGGATTTAGTCATGGCATACATTATAGTGCTTTTGATTTCCTGCCTCCCTAAAGTTGAACGCCAAGACCACACACCAGATGCTTCTGGTACTGTTTATCTACTTAAAACACCCCACTCCCACAACGCACTCAGGCTTGTGTGGTGTGTACCACTGTTCTCAGGACGTTGGAGGAAACAGCCCTTTGGTTTATCCTGTACCTCCCTTCCCAGGATGGGCTGTTGTTCCGCCTTTCCTTACGCCCGTAAGGCCTTGTGGAGTGACTGCTGCCTCCAATTCCTCCATTTCTGTGCCTGTTGGAAGCTATTACTGCCTATTTCTGGGAAAGATTTTTCAGAGGCCTCTCTAAGAGCTGTTTTGCTACCAGCATTTCATCTTTAGCTTTTACACGTGATTGTACTGTCATTCTGTGTTAAACTAATGGATCAATGCACTTGTTTACAATATGATATTTTCTATTAAATCCAGTATTTTAAAAAAAAGTGTCATGCGTGGATCTCCATCTCCAGAGTTCAGAAGGTTGTCCTTTGAAGTTTTGATTCCAAATTTTAGCTATTTTAGAATTAGCAGGTGAGACAGCTTCACACTAAGTCTTCACAAGAGTTACGGCAAGCTCGCAAACAGCAATAGCCACTATCTGCATCTCCTTCAATTGTCAGTGTGAGAAAGGCTTATAAAAATGAAGCACCCAAGCCAGGTGTGGTGGCGCATGCCTGTAATCCCAGTACTTGGGAGGCTGAGGCAGGAGGATCGCTGTGAGTTCAAGATCAGCCTGGGCTACACAGAGAGTTCCAGGTCAGTCTCAACTACATAGTGAGACCCTGTCTCAAACAAACAAAAAAAAAACAAAAAAAGCACCCATGCGACAGAGGTAGGAATGAACAGGTGAACAGTAAATTGTTTTCTGCTTGGGATCTAAACAGGCATACAGCTGTTTTACTTATTTTTTTTTTCTTGGTACCGGGGATTGAACTCGGGTCCTTGCGCTAGAAGCTGTTTTAAAAATAAGGCAACCAAATGTGGTGGTGCACACTTGTAATCCCGGTACTTGGGAGGCTGAGGCAAAAGGATCACCAGGCATTCAAGGCCAGCCTGGCTACATAATGAATTAAAGGCCAGCCTGAACTACATAGGAAGACCCTGTCTCAGAAGAAGGGCAGGGGCTAGAGAGATAGCTCAGTGGCAGTGTGCTTTCCTAGCATTTGTGAGCCCCTGGGTTGCATCCCCAGCACCATAACTGCAGGTATGGAAATTGTCTTTTCTGTTTTCTTTTTTACAGTTAATTGTGCAGCATCTCATGTCAATATAACCAGTTAAAGAGAGACAAGAAAGTGGAAGAAGGGATTTAATTTTTACCATTTTATGGAAGTATAATTTACAGACCAACAAAATCCACCCATTGTAAATATATTGATTTTTATGGAGTTGTACAGTACCTCACCACAATCCATTTCTAGCATTCCAAAGGTTCTGTTTTACTCCCAGTCCCGGGGGACTACTGATTGGCTTTGTGTCTAAGATTTACTTTGTGTGAGTGCGTGTGTGTGTGTGTGTGTGTGTGTGTGTGTGTACATGTGTGCATGGAACTCAGGCGCTAAGCACACATTTTATCCCTGAGCTATATCCCCAGCCTCTGCTGGACATTGCACACAAAAGGAATTACATGGCATCTTTAAGTCTGGCTTCTTTCACCACACATGGCATTCTTTTTTCTTACAGTGCTAGAGATGAACCAGGGTCTTGTGCTTGCTAGGGAGACACTGCATCAGACCCGTGTCCCCAGCCGCCCAAGCACATTTTTGAGTGTCACTTTCAAACATGTAGCAGTCATCTATTGCTTATGGCTGATTAGTATTCCATTCTATCCCTACGGCACAATTTGTCCAGTCAAGATGTTTAAGTTTTAAGTAGACACATTACAAAAGAAAACAGCTATATGAGAATGTGTGTAGTACCCCTGGCCAGTGCAGGCCTCTGGAACTACTCAGGGTGCCTTGCTGAGGAGCTGTTGATATTTGGGGGCAGGGATCTTGGTGGGACTGGAATACCTTGTTGCCAGAAAATATAGGTACTTCCAACAGTTTCTGAAGCAGTACAGCAAGGACAAAGCAGCCTGTTAAATGTTCCCACCGACCAGGTCGTGAAGATCTGATGCAAGAAGAAATATTAACTATAGCTAACAGGGATAAGTTGAATCTGTAAAACAGCAAGAAGTGATATGCAGAAAGGGGAAACAAGTATACACAGTTTTTCAGGAAGAGCGGATAAAGTGCGTTTAAAATTTCATTACATTTAGTAAAAAGCAGCAATGTAGACATAATCTGGTGTTGCAGGGCCACATACCTGTAACCTCACCTACTTGGAGGCTGAGTCAAGATGATTACTAGTTGGAGGCCAAAAGGCCAGCGTGAGCAACTCAGAATTAGTCTCAAAAGATATAACAACGTAGCTCAGTGCTCCCTATAATGGTTGTACCGGGTGGGGGGCACAAATAGGTGTCACCTACATTCCAGTAAGTGTATCTGCTCAGAGCATAGAGATAGATACAAGAGCCTGGCCCACTCCTACTCCTCTGGCTTCCTCAGGTCTCAAACACCATGTCAGAGATCTCCCTCGACCCTGCAGTGTAAAGCAGCACTCCCTAATTCTGTATTCTCCCTGCCCTGCTCTGTGTCCTCAGAACCACTGACCATCTCAGGCATTGTTTGCCACTAAACATATGCCCATGAAGTCAGCCTTGGTTCACTACTGATCTGCCCAGACCTCCGAACACTGGCCTGGACAGGACCACTGTTCACTGCAGTTCAGCCTGACAGCCTCTTGCTGTGACTGTACTTGACCATGTGATTTAGATGTCTTTGCAACTAGTTTGGACAGGTTTTCAGTGAGCTGAGCTTGATGGGAGATTCTGGTAAAAAACAAAACAAAACGCATCAGACTTGAATGCTCATAGAAATGCAGATGGTAAAGACCAAGCTCAGAAGATTTCAGCTCAGAACAAAGACACCCCCCCGCCCCGGCATTTGGACTACAGGCCATGTGTGTTATGTTCTGGCAGGATGTTTTTCTATATTTGCTCATGTTCTAAGACTTTGTGAAAGATTAAGGGCAGTAGGGGAATTAATCTAGCAGAGGAAATTTCAAGGAAGCCTAATGCAGAGGTGATGACTTGGGTACTTCTCTTAGCTAGCTCTTCCTTGGAAAATCAGGATCAAACAGCATAGCTGAGTAATTTAAAATTTTTGAGTTTTACCAGAAAGGAAGCTCCTGTAAAGTTGGGGGACTGTGTTGGAGAACCTCCTAGAAATTCATTCCCAGGGATTTGGGACTTAGTTCAGTGCTCAGACACTCAGACATTCGGAGGCCCCAGGAGACATCATGCAAAAGGGCCAGACTGCTGGAGCTGGAGGCAGACACTGATGTCATCCATGTAGCTTTAAAGATGCAGAATGCAAGCTTTGTGAGGTCTGGAGGGCTTCTACCCAGATTTCAACAGGCTGAGGAGGCCAAAGTGTGTGCTGCTGAGAGGGCAGTGTGTGAAGCTGGGAGGGTAAAGCCAGAAGTACAGTTGAGGCCACAGGAAGTTGGAAAGCCAGCAACATAGAACACAAGGGGTAAGCAAAACCTGCCCAAGAGAAAAGCCATGAAGGCTACAACCACTGGCAATGCTATAAGGGTGAGGCCATGCAAGTCCTTTAAGTTCACTTCTCATTACACCTTACCCCAGGTCCTGTACATGCAGCTACAGGATTATTTGCCCTGCTGGATTTAGGTCTTATTTTGCTTTGTTTCTATCCTCCTATTCCTCCCTTTTTGAGCGGGGTATGTGTACCCTGTGCCTTTGTATGTCGACAGGGTTTAACTTTCTTTTGATTTTTACAGGGTTCATAGCTAAGAGTATGCCTAAAGCTTCAGAGGAGACTGGACTTGGACCTTTCAGCAATGCTGAAACTGTTAGGACTTTGGCAACTCCAAAAGATGAATGAAATGCATTTTGCATAAAGGGCCGCACATGAGTGTTGATATCTAGATTTCCCCTCAAAGCCTCATGCATTCATGGGTGGGCTTGCGGGGGTAACTGGAAATCACTAAGTTGAATTTGTACTCGGCAGCTTTGGCATCAGAACCTCAGTTTTTACTGAGCCATCTCCAGAGCTTCCTGGGAAGCTCCAGAGAAACATGGGAATCCTTGGAGTGGTACATTTTCAGGCCACCTGAGTAACTGTACGAAGTCCAGACTATGGGTGCTGAAAGCTGGTACTTATAAGCATTTGTGAAAAATATCCCTGGAGTTCCCATAGCCATCTATCTGTCCACAAACCCTCAGCCTGGGCTGCTGATCAATTTTCTTTTAATTAAGCCAAAATTTAGGGAACAGACTAGCTACTCTTTCTAGTATCATAGCATCTGCAGGCACCACAGTATAACAAGTCTTTGGTCCTACTTATGACCTTCACATACAGCTTAACTGCTTTATGTCAGTAGCTGAAGATAAGTATAATCATTGGCATGACACTTCAGTATGTAAAAATTGCTTAAGATGTCAACAATGGATCAAGTAGTTTTAAGTGGGCTTAAAGTTTTTGATACTACTACTGTTCTTGCCTTACTGGTATCATTTTATGTGAAGCAAGGTATAAAAGTCATCCTAAAGAAAAACAAGGAAAATTAAAATCCCCCAAATTAACTCTTCTGTAACAAAATATAGAAACTACTAGTTTAACCAGTTATTTTATCTTTTGTTTTTTAAGACAGGTTCTCACTATGCAACCCAGTTTGGTCTCAAATTCCTGGGCTCTAGAGAGGGATTCTCTCTCAGCCTCTGGTACTTGGGACTTCCAAGGCTGCCAGCCCCATCATGATCAGTGGGGGCTAATTACTCTATTTCTATGTGAACTGCTGCCACCTGCTGGTGGTGCTTAGGACAAAGTTAATACTTGGCGAGAGATCCAAACTCCAGTCACTTTTGAAATGTCCTTTCAAAGTAGACAGCCATGTGAATAGCTTCATGTTTCTTAGCTGATTAACTTAATGTCTTTTGGTGAAAAAAAAAAAACAAAACAGATATCCGAAGGGATTTCTGATGTAACCAAGAGCACTCTGCAACTATAAAATGACTACTAGCCAAGCTGCAGGTCTGGGAAGATGGCTTCCAAGTCTTTTTATCTGTTTGCCATATCCCTGGACAGGATGAAATGGATTCTGCAAATTTCAGGACTTAGCTGAGAAGACAAGCTAATCCTCTCATGCCAGAGCTGAGCCATGTGGGTCCAGCTGACCCACAGGATAGTCTAATCAACTTGTGCAGTGTTTTAATATTTTTTCATGAAGTTGAAAAGAAAAATGACCATAACAGGTAAACAGACTGAAACTGCAATTGCAGCCAGTGAAACGTCTTGTGAAATAATTGATTTAAAGCTACAAAACACCTCAAAAAGAATTTCACCAATCTGCTGAGCCTGCTACAACCAGATAATCAGCCGGTAGTGGTGGCACATGCCTGTAATCTCAACACTAGGGAGGCTGAGGTTCACGTGGGCTACATAGTGAGTTCAAGGCAAGCCTGAACTACATAGTGAGACCCTATCTGGAGGGACAAAAACAAACAAACAAAAAAACCTAGATAATCAGGAAGTTTTGTAGCTCCTGACCCATTTAGGTGCCTCAAGATATAATGGATGTAAGTCAGACATGGTGGTCCATGCCTGTAATCCCAGCACTCTGGGAGGCTAAGGCAGAAAGACTGCAAGTATGAGGCCAACCAAGGCAACTCAAGGAATTAAGACTCTTGTCTCAAAATAAACAATAAAAATAAATAGGGGCTGGGGATGTAGTTCAGTGTCAATGCGCTGGGTTCATTCCTTAACTCCTTAACGCAGAGGGGACAATTGTGACAGCCAAGAGGAGTCTAAGGAGATGTGATGATTCAATGTAATAATGTGGTACCCAGGATGGAACAGAGAAATGACATGTGTCGGGGATTTAGCTCAGTGGTGCTGCTGCCTGCCTTGTAAGCACAAGCTTCTGAGTCCGATCTCTGGTACCAAAAAAAAAAAAAAACACCAAAAAGAAAAATGACATGAAGAAAATTAAGGAAACCTCGATTAAACATGGACTGTAGTTAATAATAATGTATCAGTATAGTTCATTAATGTGACTAATGTGAGATACTAATAGGGGAAACTGGGTGTGGTATATATTGAACTCCATACTATTTCTGCACATCTAAAACTTTTCCAAAATTAAAAGTTCATTTTAAAAAAATGGATGCCACAGTGCAGTTCAATCGACAAAGGCAGGCCCTTAATTAAGGTAGTTCAATCACAAGTGTAAAAAGTCAGTTTCAGGCTGGGATTTAGCTCAGTGGTGCTGCACCTTCCTTGCAAGGTCCTGAGTTTGATTCCTGGTACCAAAAAAAAGTTAGTCTCTATTTTGACCTAAGAAAAGAATTATTTGGAATCTTATTTTCATTTATCAGCCCTAGATCTACAAGCCTTTTATATAAAATCAAAAGACAAGGCCCCTTCAAATTCCCACCAAAAAGAACTACAAGGTTCATGTCCACTTATAGCAAATCTCAGCCCACTTGTAAGAAAAGCCTTCCTGCAATTAATCAAGGTACAAAAAGACTCCATCACACACTTCCTGACACAGCAGCCTTCCACAAACCCACTGGCTTCACAGGGCATTCAGGGAGATACACAAATCTCTTTCTTTTTTTTTTTTTTTTTTAAGACAGGGTCTCTCACTATGTAGCTGAGACTGACCTGGAACTCACTATGTAGCCCAGGCTGTTCTCGAGCTCACAGCGATCCCCCTGCCTCAGCCACCAAGAGCTGGGATTACAGGCGTGCGCCACCACGCCTGGCATCACAAATCTTTCATTTTACTTACAACAATATCTTACCAAAAGCTATACCATCTTAAAATTGATTTATGACCCATGCTTCAAAAATGAGGCTTTATAAACCTCACTGTCTTTATTCAAATTAAGGGGTAAAGATTTTGTACCTAAGAAGGAAAGAAACGGGTGACTAAGTAAGTCTTTGAGACTAAATACTGTACCTCTGTTGAGTTTTGAAAAATCATGAATGGAAAGAAAAGCCTCGTGTTTTGTCATAGAACTATTATACAATGTCTACTTCTATGACATCAACATAAAGTACAATTTAAATCTCTAGCAAATATCAACTAGCTCATGAACTAATGTTCAGTGGCTGTGAAAAAATTAAAATTGAACTCCAATCACAGCAGTTACTCAAATATATGCTGAATAATGGTTTTAACCATTTCATTTCTTATCGTCAGCTTATTCTTTAACTCCTGAACAGTCTACGGAACGAACTTGTTTAAACAAAGTATAAGCACTTGTTTATACAAAATATGAGTTCAGTCACAAGCCCATGTAAAAGAGGAGGTGTTATTCTGGGACTGTTTTCTCCTCACTTTAAGTATATATTGTATGCCTGGGGCACAGCTCAGCAGTACAGCACATACTCAGCATATCTGACATCCTGGGTTCGATACTCAGCACCAAAAACAAAAAAGTCGTATAGTTTTAAACCAGTCGCCTTGGTGACAGAACAAACACCAGCAGCTCTGTTCTAATTATACAATGATTTTCAATTTTTTATTTTTAAGATTAAGCATCCTCATTGACAATCCAGAAACAGTCCTTACTGATTTCTTGGACACACACACTTAACACAGTTAAAAGTGATTCCCCAGTTTCTCAATGATATGGTAGAAGAAAGTTTTAAAAAGCTACATTTGAATTCTTTCGTCCTCTTTTTCAAAGAAATTCTTACTTTGCTATCAAGCCACTCACCATACTGTAAGGCGACAATTTTCCAAAAAACCAACAAAACCCCAAAATAGAAACCCTAGATATCACAGCAAAATTACCACCCAAAACACTGCTTTTACAAAAAAAGACAGGAAGCCAAGTTCCCATAGCTGATTAGAGAAGACTTCTTAAGTCGGAAAATTAGGACCAGAACTATAGTGCTGTGTACAGGTTCAAAATCCAGAGTAATTCAAAAAATATTCAGCTTTTCAACCTTGGGAATATATTAGGCTTTCTCTTATTCCAGCAGATGAAATAAAAACACATGTTGCTGGAGTTAATATTAACATTGTCCTTACCAACAGAGGCAGGGGAAGAGTAAAGGGAGAAAATGTGGAACAAAAAAGGTTTGTCTCTAAGCTCTACTGCTCAGGAAAGTAGGATAGGGCAGAAATTCTTCTGAGCCAGTATCATTACATTGTAGATTTAGCTCAAAACCAGTGGGTTATATATACCACTCATAAATATCAAGTGACCTACAGTGCTTGTGTGGCTTGTTTTGTTTTGGAGACAGGGTCTCGCTCTGTAGTTCAGGCTGGCCTCGAACTATGTAGCTCACATGGACCTCAAACATGAAGCAATCCTCCTGCCTCAGCCTCCTGAGTGTCAGGATAACAGGTGTGCACCACCACACCAAGCTGTGTTTGTGATATTTAAAAATATTTTTAAATTATTATAAATTTCTATTCTAAAAAGTAGTAGATCAAAGTGACACTGGGCCATCCAGGCAGTTACAGATTAAAGGATCCTCTGAAAAGAACTTAGCAGAAGTTTAGGTTGGGAAGAAGGTAACATGTACTGAAAGAGTTAAGGTTCTCAATATAATTTTCATAAGACTGCTACCCACCCCAGTGGTATGTGGTATACTGAAGGGGCCACAATAGAATGTCTCAGAGGGATGCTTCTTGGAGATAGTCTGTATGTTTGGCTCTTGACCCTCATATCTACATCTTGGGGAAGAAAATAAATACTTATTTTTAACTATTTAGAGCTTTGGGCACATTATATAATATTCAATATTCTGTAGTTTTCATTTTCTGAACCTTTGGCTTATAATTTTATCAATTTATGTTAAGTGAAAAAATGGATGCCTTAGTCAATGGTACCAAATAAAAATATAAATCTTGTTCTTCCTTCTACTCAGGAGGAGAGAATGCATGGTACCCTAAAATCCTGAGAAGTTTCTTAGTGTACTTGAGGAAAGACGGGCAAACAAGTCCATTTCCACATTGTGAACAGGAGTCCACTAGTCTTCAATCTGGTCTTCCCAAACATCACCATTAACATCCACAGCGTGGAACAACCTAGAACATAAAGTACATATTATGCACTTGGACAAAACTGCTTATTAAGCTGTCTTTCTTTCTTTCAAAAATACTTTCTGCACTCTTCTGATAATATGTTTTTGTCTCCTTTAGTAACACATTGAGAAAGGCTGAAATTTGGGTCCTTCTGAACAAGCAGCCTTAAATTTGAAAAACAGTCCTTTTTTGATCTCTAGGACCAAGTATAGATAATAAGATGCTGGCCATAGTCGCCACATCTGTAATCCCAGCACTCAGGAGGCTGAGGTAGGAGGATTGCTGAGAGTTCAACGTCAGCATGGGCTACTTAATAAGTTCAAGGCCATCCTGAACTAACTAGTGAGACTCTGTCTCCAAAAAGCAAACAACCACCCCCCAAAACAATAATACGATAAGGGGTAGCTGTAACACTCCTTCCTCCTCCTTCACAGCCCTTGCACCCTCCCCTGGTGGAACGTTGTATAACTGTCAATTGATCTTTCTTCTATTACCTAAAATTTATGCAATTTCCAACTCTAAACTTTAATAGTTCATAGGCAGAGCTTATTTTAGTTTCTCTTGTAGTTTACTAACATTGACAAGTGTAGGTTCTCTACAGAAACCTACTGAGAGATCACAGACTGATGCTAAAATTGGAGAGCTAATGGAGAACAGAATATTCACACTGTTCCAAGGAATCATCCTTACTAATAGACAAACCTTTTGTAATGAAAGAAATGATACATCTAAACATCACTAACAGAGTGACAGCCTCACATTATGGGCCTCCATACGTTATATAATATGCAGTACATATCCCCTCCTCATGCGATATCCTTATCAAAAATAGTTACTCTAAACCTAGTCAAACATCTGTCTGGATGTGACTTCAAGTTGACAGCAAATAGCAAAGCTAGAGGAGCTAAAAAACACTATGGAGAAACAAAATTCTAGAAGGTAAAACATACAGGACAACTAGCCTAGATGCCTCAAAAAGTCAACATAAAATGTTCCACATCTTTTTTATATTAAGAGACAAAACAGTATAATAACTGAACTTTAGTTTTGAGGAATAACTGGGAAGTTTTATATATGCTGGATGTATTAAAGACACTATACCATTATCATCAAATTTTTAAGGTATTGCTATTACCTAGAAGCGTCTTCCTCCCTCCCTCCCTTGCTTTCCTTCCACACTGGGAACGAACCCAGGGCCTCAGGCATGCTAAGAATGTACTGTCGCTGAGCTACACTCCTAGTCCCTAAGAGAATTTTCCTAGGAAATGTATGTAGAAGCAGAGTTGATAACTTTAACTTATCTTTAAGTAGTTCAGCAAAAAAACTTAAAGAAGGGCTGGGCATTTAGCTCAGTGGCTCTGCTGCCTGCCTCACAAGCACAAGGTCCCCCCGAGTTCGATCCCCAGTACCAAAACAAAACAAAACAACAAAAAAACCATTTGTTTTAAATGTGAAAAGTAGTTTGTTCATACTATTATCTTTTCAACTATGTACATTCAAGTTTTAAATATAAAAAGTTGATAAATAATTAAAAATGTCAGTATATTCTCAAAACTCATTTTCAAGAAAATAATATAAAAAGTTATAAACATGGGAAAATATTTAGAAGAGTTCTCTAACTACTTAGTAAAATATTGGATTTGTGGTCTGCAAATCAAATACCACAAACTGACATTGAGGGTCAGGGTTTAGCTCAGTGGCACTGCAACTGTCTTGCAAGCACAAGGTCCTGAGTTTGATCCCCGGTACAAAAAAAAAAAAAAATTGACATTGAGTGGAAGAAATTGTGTACACCTACCTGTTAAAACATGGGGAATCGGGATCATTGAAATGTTTGTAAGGATTTGCTCTAGAAAGTGAACCCATACAAATCCAACAGAAATACTGCATACAGCCAGTACATGTCATCTTGTTACATCCATCCAATTTCTGGCGGGAAGGATAGAAAGAAAAAAATATCAAGGCTATAAACACAAAAGAAAAATGTACATGCCAGAAAGATTCAGCATAGGGGCTGGAAATTTACTTCAATGGCACTGAGTCTGCCTCATAAGCACAAGGTCCAGAGTTCGATCCCTGGTATCCCCCAACCCCAAAAAAGACTCTCAGAAAGATTCAGCATAACATTCTCCTAGCTGAAATATACGACTGAAATATACAATTAACACAATGACAACTGTTTAATGCTTATTATTTTTACAAAGGAAGTACAGAAAATATTTAGCAGTTGTTCCTACAATTAGACACTTAGCAAAATCTCTTGATAAACAGTAGTCACAAATCAAACACATGACTGGGTATTAAGTTTTGAATTAAATATGCTTCAGTCTTAAATTCTTTTTTTGGGGGGGGTACTGGGGATCGAACTCAGGACCTTGTTCTTGCAAAGCAGGCGGCAGCACCACTGAGCTGAACCCCTGGCCCCAGTTTTAAATTCTTACATAAATCTAAGTAAATATAGTTGGTATCAAGTCCTCCATTCTATCACAGGGCTAAGGCATATCAGTAGTAGTCAAATGTAATGCCAGTCTCTTGCCTGAAGTAATGGGGAAATCACCAGGCATAGGTTAACTATAACAGATTGAAACAGCACCATCAAATGCAAAATATATTTTGATTTTAAAACATGTTAAGATTTTGACACAAAGCAGTAAATCCAATTACTTAGCTCACGTTAGTAGGAAAATGTCTCTACTTCTCCAGCAAATACTTGTTAAAAGACTATGCTACTTTCCAGGATAAACAGTTCTGAGAGGTCAGATATGATTTTTTTAAATCACAAAGATGAATTATGAGTTGGTAGTAGTTGGGCATGGTGGCGCACGCCTGTAATCCCAGCACTCGGGGCTAAGCCAGGAGGAGCACTGTCAGTTCGAAACCAGCCTACAAAGCAAGACCCTGTCTCAAAAATCCGAACAAATAAAAAAGATTTGAAGTAACTTCGGTGTGTCCTTCCCCTCATCTGCTGTAGTTTGAATATGGTCTGTCCTCTTTGAAACTCATCTTGGAAACTTCTGGGAAGATGGCAGAATGGTGAGTGGCAGAGAAACCTTCTCTGATATTTGAAATTCAGACACTGGAATATAGGAACAAGAGAAAGAGGAGGAGGAGGGAAGTGGGTTCTCAGGACCCAGCAAGTGAGAAATGGAACCCACAGGGAGAGCGAAGAGAGGAACCACAATGTGGAGGAGAGAGGTGGCAAGTGGAGATTTCTCTCTGGGACCCAGCTCACAGCATGGGAAGGGTGGCTCAAACCTGCAGAGGCACAGTGACTACTGGTGACCCCAGAGGCCTCCATGCAGAAACACACCAGTGGAATGAGCAGTGGACACTTCGAACTTCAGTGGCTAGTGAGTTATTCAGGTTCAGGCGCCCCCCAGCAGAAGGTGACTGGCCTGAGATTTTGGAAAGGGGCCAAGGGAAGTCAGAACTCAGAGCAGCTGTGAGTTGGTTCTCCACCTAGTGGCTCCAAGTGTCAGGTTGAGGCACAACCGAGTTCAAGCTGGCAGGAGGTCAGGGAGCCAAATTCAAGCTGGCAGGCAGCGGAGTTCAAGTTGGCAGGAGTCACTTGGAGTCTTGAGGGCTGAAGAACTCAGGTCCCAGCCCCATAGCCAGAAACCAAGAAACAGCCTGAACTTCCGGGGAACTAAATGCCCAGGTCTGCTGGTAATTCACCACCACCTCGATTCTACTGCTGGCTGGCTGGGATCAATCAACATGGATCTGGGCTCTGTCTGCCCCTCTGTCAGTGAGTGACAGAAGAGACATGCCCTGAGTTAGACACCTTTTTTCTTCCTTTGATACATATTTTCTCTTTTTCTTGATTGTTCTTATTTTTATATGAGAACATTGTTTTGTTTTGTTATATTCTTGTTTCTGTTTCTTCCTCCCTTTTTTCCCTCCTGTCTTCATCCTCAGGTCCCAAAGCTTGTGTAATCTTCCTTTATTCTCCAGCCTTGCTTCTAATCTTTTGCTTCTTCTAGTTCTCTATTTTTTGCCCCTAATCTCTTTTAAAATTTCTTCCCTGAGGGTAAAATTGACATACTAAGGACATACTAAGGAGATATTTATGGTGCACAATTTTCTGGTTTGTTTAGATTTGGTTATATACTACAAATCCTGTTCATAAGGTGGCAAATTAATAGTTCCTACAGTTTGTCATTTTCTAGGGTGTGTTTGATGCTATGGTTATTACTGATTGTACTACTTTAGCTAAGGTGACATAACAGTTCTAATCAGTTGTTCTTCCTGGTAAGCCAAGACTGAGACTGCCTGAAGGTCATAAACAATACTACAGTCATTGCCAAAGAACCAGGGTCTAGGCCAAATAGGGAGCAATTTCTCATCCCCAATAAACTGATGAGGTAGGATCTTGCAACAGACTCAACACAAAAAAGCCAGCTACACCTGGAAGACATCTCTGAGAAGCAGCCATTTCCTAATGGTGCTCGATATTAGCAATAAAGATACCTAGCATAAAAAATTTACTAGCATCAATGCAGAAATTAAACTAATAAAAAATGCAAAATGAGAAGACACACAAGCAAGATGCAACCCCAGACTTCCAGCCCACCAAAGGCCAACCTAGGAAGCACTGAGGTGTAACAATTCCAAACTCACACACTTGGATGGAAGTAACAAAGCAAAGGAATGAGGTTCTAGAGAAAAATCCAATCAGAAATAATTTCTCAGATAACTTCAGACATGATGGCCAGAATGAAGGGAATGATTAGCAAATCTAGAGAAGATACAGATAAGAAAAAAATACAGCTTAGAAAAATGATGCAAACCATGAAATCAAAGAAATGAAACCCATGAAACAGATTCAATCCAGGAGATTAAAAATTCTATTGAAAATATACACAGCAGACTGAACCAATGTGAGAACACAGTATCAGACAAAGAAGACAGGTTTGCAGTTAGTGATCATGAAAAGAAAGGCTTCTTAAAAATAGCAAGGGACCACAAAAAGATCAATCCAACAGCTGCTAGATGATGCAAAGAATACTAAGATTGACTGGAGTCAATGAAAAAGCAGGAAATAGTGAAATGATAAAAACTTGTTCATAGAAGTCATGACAGAAAACTTCCCAAGCACAGAAAAAGAATTTGACATACACATAAGTGAGGCATGTAGAACTCCAATTAGCCAAGATAAAACAAAAACAAAACAAAACAAAACAAAACTACCCTACGGCATATAATAGTCAGGATTCCAGAAATTTAACACAAGAACAGAATATTAAAAACTGTTAGCGAAAAGAAACAATTGTTTGTTTTCTTCCTAAGGTTTAATTTTAACTAATAAACTTTAAATGATGAATATAATGCCAATGCAAGTCTTTGCTTATTTGTAATGCACAAATCATATTTTGCAACTTGTAGGTGAAACACAATCTTTTTACCATTATATAGTTTTCATCCTTATTTATGGTCTCTCTTCAATTTTTCCCCTTGAGTCCTTTTTCTTCAATAGTTTAACAAGTCACTTCTGGATTAGCTAAAGAGCAATCCTAGCACAATAATGAAGAAACAATCGTTTATAAAGGAAAGCCCATCAGAATCAAGCAGGCTTCTCAACACAAACCCTCAAGTCAGGAGAGCTTGGAGTGAGGTATTTCAAGCCTTAAAAGAAAACAACTTCCAACCCAGACTGATATATTCCACAAAACTATCTTTCAAAACTAATGGAGAAATAAGATACTTCCATGACAAAGATCACCTGAAGAGGGCTGGGGATTTAGCTCAGTAGTTCTGCCAACTGCCTTACAAGAACAAGCTCTGGAGTTTGATCCCCTGTACCAAAACAACAACAACAAAGAACACCTGAAGAAATTCATGACTACCAAACCAGCACTCAAAAATGTTTTAAAGGATATTCTAGAAAGCGATAACAAAGACTACAACTCTATGAACCCCAAAACAATAAATTTACCAGGCAAGGCAAGTAATTAAACAGAGGGGAAAAAGAAAAGAAACCAACAGGAAAATAACAAGTCAATAAATATGAGTTGCAATCATTAATGTAAATGGTCTCAATTCACCAGACTGGCAGAATGGTTCAGGAAACAAGATCCAACAAACAATATGCTGCATACAAGAAACATATTTAACTCAAAAAAAAATTCACAGGGCTGGGGATTTAGCTCAGTAGTCCTGTCGCCTTATAAGCACAAGGTCCTGAGTTTGATCCCTGGTACCAAAAAAAGAAAAAAGAAATTCACAGAGTGAAAGTCAAAGGATGGAAAACAATACTCCATGCAACATGAAACTGGAGAAAAGCAGAGTTAGCTATTCTATTTGAAGACAAAAATGGATTTCAAGCCAAGAGTTATTAACAAAGACAAAGAAGATCACTATATCCTTGTAAAGGGAGCAATCCAAGATGAAGAAATAACAATTTTAATATATGTGTACCAAATACCAGCACACCTAACTATATAAAACAAATATTAATGCACATGAAAAATCAAATAAGCACTAATACAACTCTAGTGAGGAACCCCAAAACCCCATGGTCACAAATAGATCAACTAGACAAAAAAATCAACTAAGAAATACCAGAAATGAACGAAATTTTTGAACAAATGGTCTTAGTGGATGTGTAACAACATCAGAATACACATTCTTTTCAGAAATACACGGGACGTTCTCCAAAATAGTCCACATACTGGCTCATAGAACACACTCAAGTAAATGCAAAGGAACTGAAATTATCCCATGCATATTATCAGACAATAGTGCAATGAAATTGGAAATCAACGGAAAAAAAAAAAAATCACAAAAACGTCATAAACATGCAGAAATTGAGTAACGCCTTCCTGAACAACCAATGGATCACAGATGAAATTCAAGAAGAAATCATACAGTTTCTACAATCAAATGATAATGTCAATATAACATTATGGAACTTAAGGGATGTAATAAAAGTCATCTTATGAGGGAAGTTTATAGCAATAAATTCCCACATCAGAAAAACAAATAAATAACCTTAGGTTGAACCTTAAACATCTAGAGGAAGAAGAGCAAGTCAATCCCAGAGCTTGTAGGAGGGAGGAAATTATAAAGATGAGAGGAGAAATTAATGCAACTGAGGCTAAGAAAACAATACAAAGAAAATACAAAGTTGGTTCTTTGAAAGATGAAATAAAACTGACAAACTCTTAGCCAACTTTATCAAAAGGCAGGCAGGCAGGCAGGGAGACAGACAGACAGACAGACAGAAAGAAAGAAAGAGAAAGAAAGAAAGACTCAAATCCCAGGTCCTGATGGATTCATCGATGAATTCTACAAGGAATTTGGAGAAGACCTAATGCCACTACTTCTCAAACTCTTTTATGAAACTGAAAGGGAAGCAATACTCCTAAACTCATTCCTGGAAGCAATCAGGAATTCCTGATACCAAAACCAGAGAAAGATCCAACCAAAAAAGACAACTACATGCTAATCTCCCTAATGAACATAAACACAAAACTCTTTAATAAGATACTGGCAAACAGAATGCAGCAAATTATCAAGAACATTATACATCAAGCAGGATTCATCCCAGGGATGCAGGGATATTGCAAATCAATAAATGTAATATACCATATTAACACAGCCAAGGACAAAAGCCACACAATCATCTTAACAAGTGCTGAAAAAACACTTTACAGAGTCTAATATCCATTCATGATAAAACCCTTCAGAAAATTGGAGTGCATGGTCTTTATCTCAATCTGATAAAAGCCATCTATGACTAACAGCCAACATCATAAATGGTCAAAAACTGAAAGCTTTCACTCTAAAATCAGGAACAAGACAAGGATGCCCACTGTCAGTATTCTTAGCTAGAGCAATTAGACAAGAGAAAGAAATAAAGACAGGAAAGGAAGAGGTGAAATTATCATTATTTGCAGGTGACATGATACTCACATTGAAGACCATAAAAATTCCACCAAAAGACTCCTAGATTTAATAACCAAATTTAGTAGCATAGCTGGATACAAAATCAACACTCAAAAATCAATAGCATTCCTATACAAATAACAAACTCACTGAGAGAGAAATTAAGGAAGCCATACCTTTTACAATAGCATCCAAAAAAATGAAATACTTAGGAATCAAATCTGTACTTCTAATTTGTTTTTGTTTTTCTTTTTTGAGACAACCTAGCCTTGAACTCACTATGTAGCTGAGGCTGGCCTTGAACTCACAGAGATCCTCCGGCCTCGGCAGGCAATACCACACTTACGAATCAATCTAATGAAGTAAAAGACCTTTACATTGAAAACTACAGTATTCTGAAAAAAGAGTTTGAAGAAGATATCAGAAAATGGAAAGACACTCTGCTCTTGGCTAAGAAGAACCAATATAGTGAAAATGACCATACTCCCTGAATTAGGGTTAGATTAGGGTTAGATAAAGTAATCAGTGTGGAGTCTTAATGACTGAAAACTGATGGCTTTATAAGGAGAGAGGCTAGAAGTATGTACTCCTAGTCCCTGCACATGTTATGCTCTGCACTTCCTCAGGGCTCTGCCAGTAAGATGGCCACCACCAGACGTGACTCTCAACCTTGGACCACAACCATTAGCCAAAATAAACTTGTTACTGGTAACAGAAAATGGATTAAAGCATAACCTATTCAATTCTGAGGTGGAAAGAGTGTGAGAATAATTGTCTTGCATGAAAGCACTTTGAAAAGGGAACTCTACGTACAGTATATTTAAAGTCAATAACAATATTTAACAGTGAAAGTCACATTTTCCAAGGATGAATACCAAATGGAATAAATACCAAAAAGTGTTTTCTTAGTAGGTTATAAAATCGACTATCGGCTTCTTAAGGTAAATATAACACACTTTCAAGTCTGTTCGCCTCCAGGTCTACTCCAAAGCGTTCACCTGTATGGGAGTTCCACAACATGGGCAGCTTTTTGAGTTCTTTTCCAGCCACTCCTTACTCTCCATCTCTTCCAGGGCCTTCTGAATCACCCTCTTCCCATATCTCTGTTCCAAAAATCTTCTAGTGGCTTCATCTGCTTGTAGGTATTCATTTTGTAACTCTATTAATTTTTCTGGAAAGTGGAATAGGAAATTTATTTTTATGCAACTGCAATACTGAGTAAAAATCATTTAAAATGCCCATAATCTCTGACTATTTGATAATGCTATCCCTGGGACTTTATCAAAAGGAGGCAATCCAAAGTAGTATCATATTCATAAAGATGCAAATAACAATGGCAAATTAAATTACCAAGGAAATAAATGTAAAAGAGCCATTCAGTGACATGATATTCAGTTATGGTTATTACCCAGTTCAAACACTTGAATCCAGAAAAAAGTGAATCTATTTTGTAACTAGGTAAAAATTACCTATGCACAAATGACAAAGGACTAAAGAATCCCCTAACTAGAAAAACTGGACTTGCTAAAGGTGGTAAGTTATTTCTTTTCCTTTGATTTTGACTTCTTAATGTTGATATATTTATGCAACTGGCACAGTTTAAGACTAGCATATAAAAGACAAAGGTGGAAAGAGATTTTTTTCACTAGGCTAGTATCACTCACCTTCTCATAATGAACAAAGGCTTAAGAAATACACACGGCACTTTAGGCTTAAGGGCAAAAACTAAACATTCAATTCTGTGTATACAATATCAGTGAGTGGGATCCACTACCCTCAGCCTCACCCTATACTATGCTTTGTTACAGGCACTGAGCAGTACTTCCTGGTAACTTTTTTTCTTTCACACTCCTCATCTGGCTTCTATTGCTCTAAAATTTAACTCAAATAAAACAGGCAACCATTGATAAAGGCTCCACCTGTAGAAAAGTATTTTTGTTCATTCTCTTGCCTTAAATCTTCAACACAATTAAAGACCTCTGTCAACACTTCTAATTATATTTTTAGTTTACTTTCCTCATATTATTTAGAGGCTTGTTTCCCTTTTAAGCAATGGACATTATCTGAGGAAATGAATTAGGAAAATAAAAACAAGAAGATCAAGCCTAAATACTCTGAAATTTCTGTAAAAGTTTCTCACTTTGACTCTCAATTTCTGTTTCTATTGTCATAGACTAGTAACAATTCTATTATATTAGTAGCATCGTATTAGCTTTCTTTATACTTCCAATAACCCTAGGTATAGGGATAACAGCTGGTAGCTATTATCATCAGGGAAGAGTAAAGGACTAGTGGAGTTACAACATACCTGCAGTTACCTTACATGGAGAGACTCCATGGTAGGTCAATCTGCACAAGGTACAGAAGGCAAAATTACAACTGGAGCAGATGCCCATGGTGCCACCAGGCTCCTGCATCACAGGCAGCCGGCAGCATGGGCGGGGGCAGTACACCACATCTGCCATCAGGTCCAAGGTGGACTGGAGGAGAAGGCGGTCATACCGGGCAAATAACTCTGCTTCCACTAGCTCTTTGACCTGAAGAGAGACAGAAAACACCATGCAGCTGATGGTTCCCCAGCCAATTCTGATCCTGAGGAGCATCTTAGGATGCTGGTATAAACCAGATGGTCCAGAAATTAAAACCTCTATTTCACATCAGAATCAAGTCAAGTACAACAACATTCAGGCATGTCTATCCTGTGGCCCACCACTGTTCTGAGTAAAGACAAATCATCTTGAGCCACATGTAAAATACATAATACAGTGAAGGTAGATAACATAGTTAATACAGTCAATGTATATAAAAACCTGCTTTTTCTTTGAGACATGGTATCATTATATAGTTCAGGCTGGCCTTGAACTCTAAGCAGCCCTCTGCATCAGCTTCCCAATTGCTGGGATTACAGACACATGCCACCAAGCCTAGCTAAAAACTCCCTTTTAAAAATGTATTATAACATTAAAAAGAGAAGGAAAAAAAACCCCAAAAACCCAGCAGGCTAAGGCTGGACATTCCTGGTGACTGAAGTGGTAGTTGCACAGGTCTACACATCTGTCAAAACTAAGCAAACTATACAAATTAAATGGGGATAGTTTGTTGGAAGCAAAATCATGCCTTAATGTAAGTTGAGTTAAAGAAACAAAAATAAAAACAAGTCGCACTTTTGCTAAAAGATATACAAAGTAGCTCACCAGATTTCATAATTACATTTTTGTCACTCCTCTAAGACCACCAAACGAGGCATTTATACTTGGTAAATGAGAAAGACCACAGCATGTTTTTGTTTTGTTGTTGTTGGCAGTAGGGATTCAACCCAGGGCCTTTGCAGTGAGCTACATCTCTAGCACTCCACAGTCTAAATTTCCCAGGCTGGGCTCAAACTTGTGATCCTTCTACCTCAGCCTCTCAAAGTGCTGGGATTGCAGGTGTGCCCTACCAGGCCACAGCATTATTCAAGGATATGGTGAAACAACTTGTGGGCTGGCTCCAAGATCTCAGACTCCCCCAGGAACCCTAGCTCCCAAGAAGATGTCTCTCTTTACGAAAGAGAACTAGGAGGCACAGGAGGCAATCCTTAACAGAGTAAATTACCTGACCAGGAGTGGCCACTGAAGTGCACTTTGGTTCTGGGCAGTTCAGACACTGAACTTGGCCATCTTTGATCTGGATTTCAAAGTAGTCCTTCAGACAAGCTTTGCAGTACACGTGCCTGCACTCCAAGAAGTACATGCACTCACTACCCAGCTTCTCACAGAAACAGATATTGCACAGGAATAATTTACTATTGAAGCATTTGGTCTGCTGAGCTTGATCGAAGTCCAAGATTTCTTGGATTAGACTTGACAATGACTCCACATCCTGCACAGCTCTCTCATCCACTCCTTCCTCTGGGTCTGCATCAGGTCCAACAGCTCCTCCAAAATCTACCTCTGTACTGGCAGAGGCTTGAGCTGTCCTTCTCTGCACTTTTTTCTGAGAACCCATCTTGAGCTCAAAAGGAGAGACAATATTCAGATATGCTAGGGTCTCTTCCTTAAGAAACTGCATCCAGGCAAACAGGACCACGCTGCCTCGGTGTTCTTCCCACAGGTTGTCTAAGTGCTTGCAGAGAGCAGAGAGCTAGGAAAAAGCACACAAAGAAACCGTGAATTAGGAAAAATGAAGCTCCGAACTCCACATCTCCCTTCTAATCTTTTAAACTTGTTAAATTATCTCCTTATACTGCCTAACACACATGGCTAACACATGGCTATGAACTGCTACAAAACATAACCAACATGCTCATCATCAAAGCACTTCATAAACTATTCAGCAATATAAACCAGAGAACACAAGTACCACAGAAACAGGAGAAAAGCAAAACTCCATAAGACACAGAAATATTTACATGTAAGCCTCTGAAACGGAGGATGCTTTCATTTGTTTTGTTTTCCTATCTTTGCTCTATAGCTCATGTAGGACAAAGAGATTTACCTCTTGAACTTTTTTGTTTTTGAGACAGGATCTTGCTATGTAGTTCAGGCTGGACTTAATTTAATTTCATTTTATTTTTTGGTTTTTTGAGACAGGGTCTCACTATGTAGTTGAGACTGACCTGGAACTCACTGTGTAGCCCAGGCTGGTCTCGAACTCACAGCGATCCTCCTGCTTCAGCCTTCTGGAGTGCTGGGATTACAGGCATGCACCACCACACGTGGGGTGGACTTAAACTCATTATGTAGCCCAGATTGGCTTTGAAATTGCAGTAATCCTTCCTGGCCTCCCAAGTGCTGGGATTATAGGCATGTGCTACCATACCCAGCTAAGATCTACCTCTAAAATGAATTATGTCTCTTCCTTCAGGAGCCCTACTTCTGTAGGTCCTCTAGAGTAATGATTAGAAAACATTTTAAAAACGCCATCCAGGACTAGGGATGTAGCTCAGTGGTAGAATACTTGCCTACTATGCATGAGGCCCTAGGTTAGAGCCCTAGCACCACGAAATACATACATACATACAGTCAATAAAATCCAGGAAAGGTAAACATTTTCAATAAGTGGTGCTGGGAAAATTGGATATCCACATGCAGAAGAATATACCCTCTATTTTTCATCAGTTACAAAATCAATTCAAATTAAAGACTTAAATGCAAAACCTGAAAGTATGTAACTACAGAAGAAAACAGTGGAAAAGCTTCCAGACATTGGAATGGGCATGGACCTTTTGGACAAGATTCTAAAGCTACAAAAAAACACAAGTAAATGTAAACAAACAGGACTGCATCAAACTAAAGAAGCTTCTGCGTGGCAAAGGAAACAACACAGTTCAGACACAATCTACAATGAGAGAATGTATACATCTGACAAGGGGTTTGCTACCCAGACTATATAAGAAACTTCAAGGAAAAAAACAAAAACAGTAGGCACTGGGGTGTGAGGCTAACTGATGGAGTGCTTGCGTAGCATCTTCAGGACACTGGGTTTTAGCCTCCCCCAAGGTGTGTGTCGGGGAGGGTTTACAGACCTAAATATTTCTCACGACATACACACGGCCTACAAAGTACATGAAGAATGCTCAACATCACTTATCAACACTATGCAAATCAAAACCACAATGAGATATCACTTCACTCCAAAAAGAATGGCTGTAATCAAAAACACAAGTGCTGGCAAGGCAAGGATGTAAAGAAAAGGGAACTTTTTGTACAGTATTAGTGGGAATGTAAAATACTATCGCTGTTATGGAAAACAGTATAGCAGTTCCTTAAAAAATTACAAACATAACTACAATATGACCCAATCATTTCATTACTGGGTATGTATCCACAGAAAATGAAATCACTAAGTCTGAACTTCCATGATTACTGCAGCAAGAAACAGAAATAACCTAAATGTCTATTTAAGGATGAATGAAAAATGGAGTACATAATATAGCAGAATACTACTCGGCCATAAAAAAGGACAAAATCCTGTCATTTACAATATAACATGGATGAAGATCATTACGGTAAGTGAAATGAGCCAGGCAAAGAAAGATTAAGTACTGCATGATCTCACTCATGTGAAATATAAGAAAGTTAATCTCATAGGCATTCAGAGTAGAATGGTATTACCAGAAGCTAGGAGAAGGGAAGAAGAGGGGAAGGCTGATCAGTGGGTACCGAGTTAGACAGGAGCAAGTAGTTACGGTATGCCATTGCCCAGTAAAGGGATTATAGATAATAATAATAATGCATTGTATATTTCAAAAAGTTAAAAGAAAAAAGTTGTAAGAAAAGATTTAAAATGTTTTTACTGTAAAGGAAGGATAAGTGTGAACAGGTATTTTACAGTGGTTTAATATTAGACAACGTATACAGTATATATATCGAAGCATTACATACCCCATGTATCCTACAGATATGTACACTAATGTCTTTACTATTAGGTAAAAAGTTTAAATTAAAATACCACCCAAATTTTGAAATTAATTCTAACTTTCAGTCCTATCAAAAAGTTAACTCATCTGAAGGAATCACTAGCAGAATTCAATCTCAAGAGTCCTTGTTTTTCAGATATACAAGCTACTTTTTAGTCATGCAATATGGGCTTATATCAGATCCTGATTAACAGACGGAAGCAGCCAGGCGTGGTGGCGCATGCCTGTAATCCCAGCACTCGGGAGGCTGAGGCAGGAGGATCACTGTGAGTTCAAGACCAGCCTGGGCTACATAATGAGTTCCAGTTCAGTCTCAACTACATAGTGAGACCCTGTCTAAAAAACAAACAAACAAACAAACAAAAAATAGATGGAAGCAACTGATACTGAACCTGAACATAATTACAAGTCCTCAACAGGGTTTGGCTGCCATGGAGAAAGATCATACTTCCTAAACTAAGAGAACAAAGTTAAACTATTTTGCCATTTCCTCTTTAAAAGTGGCCTATTCAGCAGGGTGTGTGGAGCACGCCTGTAATCCCAGCCCTTTGGAAAGCTGAGACAAAGCACTGAAAGTTCGAGCCCAGCCTGGGCAACTTAGCAAGACCCTGTCTCAAAATTTTAAATTAAGGGGAGGTGTAACTCAGTGTGAAGGCCCTGACTTAAAAACCCAGCACCATACAAAATAAGTAAATGATATAAGTAAAAGAAGTCTGCTCAATTTGAAAAGCAAATGTAAGAGGATTTTCCATTAGAAATGTAGAATATTTGTAAGCGACCTCAGGAATTATAAGCTGATTTTCTGTTTTAGGTAAAAAACCAAAAATAAATTTTCCAGATGGCAAGAAATTTGTAAATTTAAATAACAAGTGAAAAAAACCTACATTTTCTATTCCTTGTTCTGCAATGTGCTACTGACTAAATCCTGCATAGGCACTAACTTAAAGACTTATTAACATGATTAGACAACGAATGCTTTTTGTACTTTTGCTTAATGAAGCATATATCACCATGCTTTTGAGAAACGTGCTAAAATCTACAAAATGTAACACATGCTTAAAAGAGACTTTCTGCAGGCTACATAAACCACTGTGTCCAATGAAGAAGCCCTTCTCCTCCATCCTCTCTCCAGTCCCTTCTAAGAGGCAGCAGGACACACAATGTTAAAGGGGGAGAGGAAGACAGAGGCAAAGAAGAGATCCCGCGTATGTATGTGTATCAGGGAAAGAATAACGGCAAACCCTAAAAAGCTAGATCCACATCCTAAATCCTATCTACCCAACCCAATTCCGTGAATGACAGGTCCGTGTGTCCATTTCCCTATCAACAGAGGCAATTCACAACACCATAGAGTCAGGATGCAGTGACCAAGAAAAGAAAGGGGAAGAACACAGAAGACCATTAAAATGTCAATTCTGCACATAAGAATTTATTTGATAAATAACCCTGCTATAACTTTAGCTGTAAAACATAAAATAGTGAACAACTCTCCTTCACCACATAAACATCCAAAAGCCACCAGAGTAGATGCCAGAATCTAAAACTATAACCACATATCTAGTTAATATGACCTGCGTTTGTGGCTTATGTGTACATGCACACATATATGGTAAAATAAAGAACCCTCAGAGGACTATAAATATCTAAATACTTTAGTCACCTATCAGTGGCCTAAATGTCAAACAGTCTCAGCAAGATGCAGTGGTGCACACCTGTAATCCCAGCCACCCGGGAGGCTAAGAAACAAGTTCAAGGCCAGAGTGGGCAAATTTGTGAGATCCTGTTTAAAAAAAAAAAAAAAGGCAATGGAACACTTGCCTAGCACATGTGAGGTCTGTGTTAAATACCCAGTACAATGTACCCCTGACTTACAAACTCAATTCACTTGCAAGGGCAGTTTAAAATTCAAGTTGATCAGTTAAAGGCTCAGGCTCCCAGACAAAGCCTTCAAAGTCTCTCCTGTACACAGGCAGAGATCTGTGTCCTTAGAGAGACAATGACCTAGGATTTTTCAATTAACCCCATGCAGGAAAGGATGCTGTAATGTTCCTTCCAGAATTCTTTAAAGGTTAAATCTGTATCTGAGACCATCTGGAAGCACAAGCGGCCAACATTCAGTTTGTAACCCAAGACTTTGGTCACAAGTAAAAACTAAATTTCTGGTCATAACCCAAGTTGTTCTTATGTTATATCAGTTGTGACTTGAGGGTCCACTTTACTAGCAAAAAAAGAATAATTCAAACAGTTTTGATATTCCTGGGCAAGTATGAAAGATCTTGCACCTGTTTTCTCCAGCAGACACACTACAAGATAAAGTAGTATTCCTTTTCACTCTACAAGCATTATCCTTTTTTCCTTCCTAAAACATAATCTCAATCATGGAAAAGCACTCTCATTTAATAGGTTAGCTGGGATTTAGCTCAGTGGTGCTGCTGCCTGCCTTCCAAGTGAAAGGTCCTGAGTTCAATTCCCAGTATTAAAAAAAAAAAAAAGATGATAATGAGCTATTCCTTGATGTCAGTCACTCAAGACAACTTTTGTCTTAGTATACATCAGCCTATCAATCTTCATCATGACTTCTAGAAAAGTAGCTATCGATCCATTGCATCCCAGAATACTTCCTATTAGCTTCAATCATATTTATGTCTCAATCAAGAGTTGAAGAGAGGGCTCCAAGTATGAGTAAGGAGATGGAAATGCTAATTACCCTGATTTGATCAGCACATGCTGTATTTGTTGAAATCACACTGTACTGCATAAATATACACTATTATTACATGCTAATAAAAAAAGAGCTGAGGGTGTTACTAGAAATGGTACATAACCCAGAGGGAATGAAGGTGTATAATACAAGGTCACCCATCTTAATGAAACATCTGTAAGAACTGTACACACCTCTGTGTACATTTAATTCTAAGTGACAACAATCAACAATTGTTTGTTTCTAATACGTGAATTTTATGAAGTACTTATATTTACTCAGGAAATCTGCTTCTTATAGCTATATTAGCTCAATTTGCAGTCCTAATTACAACTAAATCTCTTATTTAAGAAATGGGTATGAAACTAAGGGGAAAAAGTATCAATATCTACAGAAAATGAGGAAGCCCTCATGGTCTCCATTACAATAGAGATTAAACAGAAAAATAGTAAGATAAGAAACAATATACTTGATTGAAAATTACTCCTATTACAATTCATAGGTCAATCATAATGATTAATCATTCAGTTATTGCTATTCTTTTTAAATCAACAAACATTTTCAATTCATTAACATTAGGATTCATGAAGGCAAGGGGAAAAATTACAAAATCAAAGCCATTTGTTTTTCATGCAGTGAAAAGATCATCGAGGTAGTCTACAATTAAGATGATTTTGTAAGTTTCTAAAAATGGATAGGAAAAATTAAGTTTTGGGTCTACCTGAGTCGGTGACAGCCATTTGCCACTAAGTGTGAATGAAGGTGGGGAGGAGGATGGATAATCTGGTGGCAGTTCAAAGTTCAGCACAAGTGGAGGCAGAAAGCAAATGGTGTATTCAAAGCCACTATTCTGGAGACACTCATTTGAATTGCCTGAACCGAAAACAAAGATTAGAAAGGATCAGCTGGTCAGCACTTGAGTGTCCATTATTGATGAGCTATGCTCTGAAAAAAAACTTACTGCTTTAGGTGAGGGGATAAAGCCCTTCTCCAAAGGCATTTTCTAATCCCTAATTTTGACTTCATAGCCACCACCTTAAGTAAATAAATCTAATTCTGGAAAAATCTACCAGGCACTATGAAATGTATAATGAAGACATACAATGTAGTCTTATATACACTTCTCAGTACAATTCCTGACACTAATGACCAAGTAATACACAATGTTTGTTTTGCTGTTGGTTTACAGTAGGTGATTACAAGACACAGCCTAGAAAAAAGGATGTTTACTTTTATCAACCAACCAACCACAACTTACTTAGAGCAGCAACTACCCATGAATCATAGCCAGGAAAATCTGTGTCCAACACAATGACCTCAGGCTTGAGGACAAGATACAGTACACAACACTCTCACTTCAGTTTCACTTAAATGATCAGTGTTCTTTACTCAATGCCTCTAGAATAGAAACATTTTGAAAAAGGGTGTAACAAGGTCTTCTGTGAATATGTCAAGGGAAGTTTTTGCTGAAGCAAAAGGTCACAGAGTAACAGTGTGTACCACTTGTGTATGGTATTTGAAATGATTCTGGAAACTAAATAGTATTAACAACCACCAGAGTACTCGCCATACTTGCAGTCCATGTGTTTTCACAGCAGTACTTTGTTTTCTCTTTGATCACCCGCTCTTATTTATGGATGAGACGTGGCTGATAAACTGCTAGTTAGAAGGATGGATGCATAAAAAATGCCCCAATTCAGTGGTTAAAAGGTGGAATTAAACTGCAAACTGTTTGCTTCTCATTCTAATTCTTTTAAAGCAAACAGATAAAATCTGTAATAACACCATCTATGTACATTTAAAAACTGAAAACATTAAGGAAAATCCATGTAAGAGAATATTATCAACTAACCGCTCACAAATATCTTGAAATTTTGTGGCAAATCCAAATAAATCCTGGTTTCTCCACCTTGGACAGACTCTGCTTTTCTAAATTCATCTCCATCATAAATACTTGCCAGCGCCAGTAATTCATCCTCCTGAGCTTCTCGGTCTTCTGACGACATTTACTTGTCTGAGGAATTGAAAATAATCATTCAAATCAGTTAAGAACAGAAAATGCAGTGTTAGGGGAAGTTTAATGGTACATAAAACAAATGTCCCTCACAAACAACTGCTAGGGATTAAGATCCCCAATTTTATGCTAAACTAAAACAACAGCCATGCCTACCATTCTATTAGCTGTGCAGTAGTAATGGTCGTTTTCAAAAAGAGTGGCTGTGGTGCTTTAATTTGCTGATTTTATCAATTAGGTATTATGATTGATTTTTAAAAAAATTTTAAAGACATCAAATCACAAATTACTTTGATTTGTCAACTTAGAGAAGTAGCCTATTTGTCAAAAAAAAACAAAAAGGAAATAACTTGATATGTCTTACATTTTTGTCATAGGGGTAACTATGCTGTGCAAAGTACGATTAGCAGCATCTCCTGGCTTGTACTCACTAGATGCCATATGGGACCCCCTACCAAAGGGTTGTGACACTAAAGAATATGTCTAGATAGGTAGCAAAATTGTTCCCAATTGAGAAAATCCTATTTCGGAGGATGTTACAGACAAGATACCGTATAGGAAAGTTAAGATAAGTAAACAAGCAACAAAGTAATACTAAAATTTTGAAAGAACACCAGATTTTTTGTCAAATGTACAAAACCGTTAATTGTAAGAGTTACTATTATCTTAGGTAACATTAACAATCAAAATATCCTATACTTAAAGCATAAATCAATGCTTTTTCGATTGCAATGACTGAAAGACACAGCACAATTTCAGATAATTTCAAAGAGAAAAATATACAGTGAAGATTCATAGAACCTAATACAAAATTACTACTCTGCTAATTAAAATGTTGGGCATAATTGCAGTTGCTCTCCTCTCAACTATAAACTCTAAAAAAAATCTGAAATATACCAAATTGAAAGGTTAGAATGTAACAGTTTTGTTGTAAAAGGTAACATAAAATTTAAACAAATCCAGCGGGAGATTTAGCTCAGTGGTTCTGCTGCCTGCCTTGCAGGCTTAAGGACCCGTTCCAACCCTGGTACCAAAACAAAAACAAACAAATCCATTTAAGATGATTCCATTTTCTAAAACCTATTTTTCTCCCAGCAATGTCAATGGCTCTGCTTAAGCTGCATCTCTAAGGCACAGTGGCAGGTCCTGTTTGAGGTCAGTTAGTACCTGTTAATAACAACCAGAAGGAAAGGATATTAACACTGCAGTCTGTATTTCAGTTCTGTTTGTAATCTGTGCAAATCCCATTTATTCTCCAGCAAGTGGAGCTGAGAACGACGCCAAGATGTGGGACTCATATTAGATACATTATGAAAATCTTGCCATCTGCAGAGAAGAAATATTAAAGATGGTGTTAGAAATATGAAATTTAAATTCCAAATTTCCATTATCAATGCATAAGTGAAGCACATCCTAACATCCGGCCAATCCTTATCTACAGCTGCATATGGGTACGGCTCTCTTAGGACAGAATGAGTTATATGGTTAAAGGGGCAAACAGCATGTTTCCCAGTCACGACAGAGGCCTTATTTGACTGCCCTCAGCCTAGGGAGGACACCAAGGTAGTATGTCAAAACAGAATACTACATTCTGCAATAAACATCTATCTGGCTTGGTTTTTTTTCTCCTTCTTGTAGTCTTTACTTATTTTTTGGTACCGGGATCGACCCTTCTTGTAGTCTTTCATTGCCTATGCGGCTCCAGTTTTTGTCTATCATGCTCATGAATTAACCTTGCCAGAGAAACTCATGGTTAGGTTAACTGATAGAAGGATATTTTACTTTTTTGGGGGTGGAAATGCTGAGGATTGAACCCAGGGCTTCATGCATGCTAAGCAAGCTACATCCCCAGCCCAGGAAAATATTTTAAAACAAAACAGAACACACACAAACTTTTAAGTTTTATTCTGAATGTTTCAGAACCAGACTTTTGTTGTTTTGTTTCTTTGAGACAGGGTCTCACTATGTAGCCCAAGCTGGCCTAGAACCTGTGGTGATTCTCCTGCCTTAGCCTCTCGAGTGCTAGGATTACAGCACTGTGCCACTATGCCCAGCTAGACCCAGACTTCCAAACTGGGGTTCATGGAGAAGGAGAGTGTGGTCCACATATGGGTTATGGAAAGTTCCATGAGTTATCTTGAAATTAAATGGAAAAATATAATATGAACCCATAATATTTAGATTAGATTCAGCTTATGTGACTTCTAAATAAGCTAAGAATGACATTCATGATCAATTTACATTTATTGAGCACTTCCTATGTACTGTATTAAATCTTTTCACATTACCTTATTTTATCTTCAACAGTTTGTTTTTTTGAGACAGCGTCTCATTATGTAGTTGAGACTGACCTGGAACTCACTGTGTAGCCCAGGCTGGTCTCAAACTCAGGACAATCCTCCTGCCTCATCCTCCCAAGTGCTGGGATTACAGGCTTGCGCCACCACGCCCAGCGATCTTCAACAGTTTTGCCAAGTAGTAACACATGGTGTTGATAACAGGAGTAAACTTTTTGCATCTCCTCTTTGGGGGGACCAGGGATTGATCTCGGGTCCTTGCACTTGTGAGGCAGGCAGCAGCACCACTGAGCTAAATCCCTGGCCATTTTTGCATCTTTTAAAACATTTACACAAAGTATAAGAGATGAATTTATAGAATGTATGGTTTTAGGTTAGCCATCTCATCCTTGTTAGCACATTAGGATCCCCTGAGGCTTTTAAAAATTCCAATACCCAGGCCAGATCCCAGAGCAATTAAATCAGGCCTACAGTTTTCAGTGCTCACCTGGGGAACCAGGGCTGAGAACTTGTACTCAAGCAAAGTTTCTCTTCAACAGTTCCTTGGGATGGGAAACATCTCAGACCCCAGGATCTGAAGCTGCCTGTGGGTCCCAGGGTCTTACTTCAGTTGGTTAACCTCCATTTCCTTGATTCAACCCATTCAGTCTCTGAAGCTCACCTCCAGTGCTGTTATTTCCACCTAGCACTTTCCAATTAGACATGTCTTCCTTTAAAATCCAGCCGAACTCTAACTTCCCTATGACATTTACACATCCCGCAGTACATTAGTTTATGAACTCACACTTCCTCTCCCACTAACTTGCATTAATTCCTCAAAGACAGGGACCAAATGGCATCTGTGTATCATTCTTAGCATCTAGCTGTGCCACACGATTAGACACTGGGGAAATCATAACGGAACTGTGGTGACATTTCAGTGTGCTACAATGGGGGACCAGGAGCAGAGTTTAGTGAGCTCCCTGCTACCTCCCGCTAGATACGAGAATGTCGTGCGGGTCATCACAACAGCATTAAGAACAGTAAGAACTGGTGAGCTCTTAAACGTTGTGTCAGGTTTCGTGCTAAGCCCTTTCAAAGCATTAACTGCTGCTAGATTCCTACAATCACAAGAAGAAAGTTGTGTCCATTACACAAATGAGAAAAAGGAGTTTAGATCCCCTTTCTGGCTGAAGATCACACAGCTAAAATATAACTAAATCTGGATTTATAAAACTCCCGGTCTTTACATCACTAACACTGAACCAAGAGTTAACTCCGGCATCACCAGACAAGAAGAGATAATTCACGTTTAATATTAGTTTGTAGCAAACCGGAAACAGTTACACGAAGGATGGAAGCCCCGCCTCCACCGGGGAGGTTTCTTCGGGCCGGGAAAATCCTACTCGTTCTTCCAGGCCTATCTGCGGGCTCCGGCCCGGGGTCCGGGCTCAGCACGCCCGGAGAGCGGGTTGTACGACTCACCGAAAGCCGGGCGGGCCCAGGTCTAGCCACCGGCCGGGCGGGAACAGAGGCGCTCTGCAGCCGCGTAAGGAGTGGCCGGACCCGGGCGTCCCGAAGCAGCGGGGCCTGGACCTCCCTGGTCCTCCAAAGCACCGGGAGAAAGGGGTGGGCCAGGATCCCGGTCCCGGGTGCTGGATAGAAGCACTGCATTGCCGCCCCGCCCCCCCCCCCCGCGCCCCCCGCCATCCCTTCCGGCCGCCCCGCCGTGCCAAGCCCGAAAGTTCCGCACTCCGCCCCAGGGCCCTGCTCCGCTACTCGCCAGCCCAGTCTAGAGAACTCGGGCGAACCTGCGCACCGCCTCTTCCGTCTTCTCAGCTGACAGCGGAGCCGACCCGAGGCCGCGCAGGCGGGGAGAAGCTTTGCGCAGCCGCCTTGAGGCCCGGGTTTCCGGGGCGCCCTCCTCAGACCACAGGTGGCACTGCAGGAGCTCCTCCCGTCGCCTCCAGCAAGGCCGGCAAGCTTCGGTGTATTTCTAGAGAATTTGATGCAAATTCAGGCATGAAGCTCAGGGGGGTCCTTCGGTAGATCTAGATGGGGCCCAGCAATTAGAATTTTTACCAGTCCCTAGAGGTGAAAGGCTCCGGTAACCAGGCCAGACCTCTTCCTCCAGGTGGGCTACGCAATGCTTCTCCCACACTCCAACGCCTGTCTTAGAAACGCTGCTCATCCTTCTGGCGTCTCCACTGTGAAAGCTTTAACTCATTGCTTCTATCATAACTCCCCCACCCCCGGTTTTTTGAGACAGGGTCTCACTTGTAGTCCAGGCTTGCCTTGAAGAGTGTAGCCTAGGGATTACAGGTTTGCACCACTACACCTGGGGCTGCTCCGATCATAACTTTTAACTACCACATTTATTGAGCAGTGGGATGCTTCAAGGGCTAAGTGCTTTATGTACAATTTCTCTGTCTACACCAAAACTTTTATTTATGTACCATTTGTTATCCTTAGTTTACAAAGGAGGAAATTGAGATTGAATTGACCAAGAACGGACTAGAGTTCAGGCGATTATTGAAATATTGAACAGGAAAAAATAAAAAAATATTGAACAGGAGTTAAAATTACACGTCCCCGAATTTACACCAAATTACAAAAATTAACTAAAAGTGAATCAAAGATCTAAATGTGAGAACAAAAGCTATGAAATCCTTAGAAGAAAATGTAGGGCTATCTTCTTGAACGTGAGTTTGGCAGTAGTTTCTAATATGACAATAAAAGTACAAGTAACAAAAGAATCCATTCATTGCATTTATTTATCAAAATTTTTAAAAATTGTGCTTCAGGGGCCGGGGATTTGGCTCAGTGGTTCCGCCACATGCCTCGCAAGCGCAAGGACCCTAGATCGATCCCTG